GGTTTATATTTTGTTTTATATGTAGTGCTTTTTCTAAGTTTTTTCTTTTTATTGTTATAATGACCATATGCCTGTGGAGTGTATATAGCTGTTTTACAAAATGCGTAAACGTTCTTTTTTAACTGTTCCTGTAAAGCTACTTCTTTGCATTTATCTTCTAAAATACTAAAAGTATATGTTATTCTTGGTCCTATTCCAAGATTTGGTTGTGCATCATAGTGTTGTTTCCATGTATCATGTATATATCTTCCTAGATCTCCTGGTAATTTAATAAAATATTTATTACAAAGATTATCATCCATTGCTTGTCCTGTTTGKGATAGTAATCTTGTAAAATCTAAGGTAAATTCATTAATATATTTCATGTCTGCTATATTTAATTGTTCTAGATTTCTTATTGATGTATCTTGTATTAAGGTACTATTTTTGGCTGGATCAACTCCTAATATAAGAGTTCTTATTTGTGATGTAAAATTGTATGGATTATCTCCTAAAGCTTTTAAACTGTTTATTTCATCTGGATTTTAGGCTTTTTTACTTTGCCAAATGCCTAAAGCTATTGGGCCTAATGTTGTTTCTAAATAAGAAAACATATCCATACTATCTTTTTTATTAGTTTCCCACATTCTTACTACTAGGGGTGCTCACGGCCCGGGTTGATCGGGTTAGAGCCGTTTTAACAACCCAACCCAATGTTGGCGGTTTGAAAATTTTCAACCCAACCCAACCCAAACAAAAGTTCAACCCAACCCAACCCGTTCGGGTTGATCAGGTTGTGTTTAAACAATGTAAAATCACATAAAAATATAGAAAACTTTCCTTTGAAATACGACTGACCATTCAAGATAATATGCAAGTTCATCAAATATTTAAATATTATAATAAAAATGTTTAAACCAAATGATAATAGAACAATTAACAACAATAGTTTTAGACGTTTCCAACCCCGATGCTTTCGCTTTCTTGACGTTGAGGTTGGTCATGTCATGATTGTCATATACAATTCAAAGCTAAAGTTAAGGTCGGGTTCATCGGGTTGTCGGGTTGGTCGGGTTTTTTTGGGCCTGACCCGATTGCAACCCAATAAGATCGGGTTGGCTAATTTTTTTATCGATCATGCATCGGGTTACCTCGGGTTGGGTTTTTTTTTTAAATCCGGGTTGGGTTGGTCGGGTTCATCGGGTTTTTGAGCACCCCTACTTACTACTGTTTGTTCCCATGCTAAGATTTCATCCATCCATAACTGGGGCTTTTGTTGTCCTAACAATAACATACTACTACTATATATATTTCCTATAGGTAGTGTTTTTCCTTTTCCTATAAAGGTAGATTCCTGTTGATATTCGATAGAAGGCAAAAAGCGTAATTTCACACAGTTTAGTACCAACTAAGTATCATAAAGAATTAACATATAAACTTCTTACACGCACAATTGAAAATAGACTCGTACAAATTAAAAATTATATAGAACCAGCAGGAATACAATTTTTAGACTTTGCAGGAAATTACAGTATTAAATATGATATTCCTCAAATAAATATAAACCCTCAACACATACAATCACAAGAYTTTGTATTAGGATTAAATTTCTTATTTAGTCTAAATGGAGGTATTTATATTAATAAACAATTTATTACATTAAGYAAACATACTTACAGTTTTCCAACATTACGATATACAAATACATCAGAGTTCACCCGAAAGCGTGGTGGACACGGTAATTTAGACTTTTTAAAACAAACCAATAACTTTAAAGAAAATGAAGCAATAAAACTTCTTACAAATTT